CATTTGTTGTGACTTGGGCTTTGAGAGAAATTAGTTTATATGACCATGACCTATAATATTGATGCTCCTAGATAAGTCAAGAACAATTTCTTCAACGTCCAGTGCCTCTGGATACATATTGTCATCAACCCCTCCATACATATTCGAGCTGGGTTCACCATACATGCTCGACTTGGGCCCGCCATGCATGCTCGACCTGGGCCCACTATGCATGCTCGACTTGGGCCCACCATGCATGCCCATGTCATATCCACCAGGCACATGCCCATGTCATAATCACCAGACATTCTAAACTCACTTTCCTTTTACTACGTTTCGTGTAAACTCATTCTTGTGGCCATCTCCAAATCATTATTATATTACTCTTTTGGATCAATCCCGCTCGATGGCTTATATAAGCTAGCTATCTACTCATTTATCATCTGTTTTGTAATTTTTTTACCTTCGTTAGCTTTGAGAATGACCGCTATCTGCTTTCTTACATTACTAGGGATACTATTACACGCAGAAACATCTCCCTTAACCCCTGCCAAGTGTTGCTTGAACCTATGTACCCCACTGCTTATTACTTTTTTGCAGTAATTACAATAATTTTATTTATTTTTGTTAGGATCAAGTCTGACCCCATGTTCTCATGCAGGGTCTTCCCTAGATCTTGCTATGGTTTATTTGTTTAATATGTAAATGGTTAAAAATAAACCTGACAATTCAACATGAAAAACAATCACTATGTGTAGTGATAATGTGTAGGCGTAGTTCATGAAGTTATCTTTGTTGTTAGTGCAAAATACTTCGACTGACAAAAATATTTTATTTATGTAACATTATAGATAAAAATAATTTGTATTAGCCACTACATAAAGAACAAAAAATATACAATGATATAGTATCAATAAAAAATATATTTACAATGGTATAGTAATTCACAATGCCAGTACATATGGACAAGCGTGAATTAGTTCCTACTGGGAAAAGAAAAATATTTATGCAACATTATAGATAAAAAGAATCTGTATAAGTCACACTTAGAATCAATAAAAAAAAAATTACAATAATAAAGTCATCCATAATGCCACTACATGTAGATTTGCCACAAATAATATTTACAATGATATAGTCATTCACAACGCCACAAATAATATTTACAATGATATGGTCATTCAAGATAATATAATTATAAAATATGCATCAAGAATATGCATACATTTTATATATCAACATTCATTTTTTTGAATTGAACAATAAAATTGCAAAATACAAGTTAACTTAATCACTGGTTTTCATGATAGCACCGCCTAGCCTACTTACAAAACCTCTTTTAAAAGTAGTTTCCAGTAAGTATACAACAATATGTGGGCACAATTCCAAGATTAAAATGAATACAAATAGTCTTACAACTCAATTACCAAAACTCTTCGGTCAATTGTGCAAAATTATAATCCAAACATCATTAAAAAACTCTGCAATTTCATTTCAAACACACAATTGACATATATATATATATATATATATATCGTTAACACATGATCTAAGTAAAAGCACAATAAGGGAATCAATGGAAGCCTTTTAAGATAATATAATTATAAAAGGGAAACACTACGCAATGCCTATAGGCGAAAATGAACAGTGATTTCACCTACATTCATCACCGTTCAAAATTCATCGCACGGTCACATTTGTTCGGTAGTATTTTTATTTTCATTTTTTTTACAAATTGGAATGATCTGAAATTTAGAGAGTATGTTCATAAAAAATAGGAGAATCTAACAAAAATATAAAAAAAAGTATTTTGTAAAATATAAATTGATCAAAATGCCCCTGAAAATTTATGGGGGTATTTTGATCAATTTATATTTTACGAAATATTGTTTTCATATTTTTATTAGATACGCCTCATTAAAATGTACACACGCTCCAGATTTTTGATTATAGAAAAAAAAATGAAAAATAAAACACTACCAAACAATCTTGATCGTACGATGAAGTTCGGATGGTGATCAGGGTAGGTGAAATCACTATTCATTTTTGCATATAGGCGTTGGGAAGACTTTTCTATTATAAAATATGTATCAAGAATATACATACATTTTATGTATCAATATATAGTTTTCTGCATTAAAAATTTAACAATAAAATTGAAAAATACAAGATAATATAATTATCATACTTGCCACAATTTGTTTACAATGATATACGTTTAATACCAATAATATACATACATGGCACAAATAATATTTACAAAGATATAGTCATTCAAGATAATATAATGATAAAATATTTATCAAGAATGTACATACATTTTATGTATCAACATACAATTTTTTTGCATTAAAAATTTAACAATAAAAATGAAAAATACAATTTAATTTCTCATGATAATGGTCACAATTTTCACTATTTTTCAAAAAATCACGATTTTTTTAAGAAATTGATCATCAAAATTTCATGTTTTAAAAAACGCAGCTGCAACCCCATTTCTTAAGAAATCGAGCAATAAAAATTGCTTAATCCGACAAATTACACCCAAAATCATATGAAGAACAATATTACCTTAAAAAACCTCTGAAATAAAATAATGGTGCTTCAATTCGTCTCAAATTGTAGTTTGGTGGACAAAAAAAAAGAAAAAAAGAAAAAAAGAAAAAACCTAACTGTTCTTGACAAAACCGTGGCTCAAAATAAAAAATCCACTACAAATCCACCAAAATATAGAAAATAAGATACACATATTCGTGAATAACATCATAAAGAACTAAAACCCTATGATATGAACAAAAAATTTGCTAAAAATAAATTGGAATCGATTAAATATCAGAAAAATACATGTTTTTCTGAAACCGTGACTTCAAATCCAAACTTTACTTGTAATCAACCAAAATCAACGAAAATGGTGTACAATTCCTGTTGAATAACACAATCACGAGTAATTACCCTATGATTTCATAAAATGGTGGCCTATTTCTTATGTAATCCAATGAATGGCCAAAAAACCTAAAATTACAGACGCAACCTGAAAACAATGACTCAAACTAAAAAATCGACCTCAAATCGAACAAAATTGATAAATGGATACATTTTGTAATAAATAATATTATAAAGAATCAAAACACTACACTATGAACAAATTATTTGCTAAAAATCGATTACAATCAATTAAGTGGCGGGAAAAACAAATTTTTTACCGGTTTTTCTGTAACCGTGACTTCAAACCCAAATTTGACTTGTAATCGATCAAAATAATCGCAAATGCTGAATATTTTCTTCTCAATAACACTCTCAAAAGTAATGAGCCTCTGATTTGATAGAAAATAGTGCCCTACTTTGCTTGAAATCTAAGAAGTGGCGTATAACCTAAAAAAAAAAACTTGTTCTTTATAAATCCGATGATTTGTGATCTAAATTAAAGCTTTCAACTCGAATATAACAACCAATAAGGCTGAAAAGTGATAGATGAAGCCTAAACTATTCGATTCAAAGCCTGCAAAAGCAAAAAAATCATCAAAAAAATTCAAAATTTTATGATACATCTCGCGTTTCACTGTTCACCCATGTCTGCTACAGTGACTCAGACGGTTAACTGTTCCGAATCGCCCGGTTCTCTCTAAACACGGGCGAGTTTGTACTATGTGGTGGAATTGACATGGGGGTACCGATTCCCATGTCGAACCGGGTGAGTCCGGTTCGACTTAACGAGTTTTGAAATACCGGTGACCACCTTGTAACATAGATGAATAGTCTCATTGTATACTTTTCCTTAAAATTATTATGGACCAAATAGCTACAATGACCATGTTGTTTATCATCGTTCAATAAATGAGTTAATGCTGATGGGAGAGTGGCAGCGTATAAAGCCTTTAGACTTTATCACTATCCAATAAATGAGTTGACGGTGATAGGAGGGTGACGACATAGACTTTATCACTACCTACTGAATGAGTTGACGGTGATAGAAGTAGGTGAAGATATATAAGGCCTTTGATTGTTGCTAAAAGATATTCTACTCCCTCAAGAACATACTGTCTATTTACTTTTTCAGTTATAACCTATTTCAGGGGTATAACCTTAACACATACATTAACATCAATAAAAAATTAGTTCCTGATTGGGCCTTCTAATCATTTAAAAAAAATAATATCTTAAGATTGCATGAAGGCCTTTCAATTTTAGACGGTGAGATCTAAGTATTAGAAAATTCTAATTTCAAATTTGTTCTTTAAAAATAGTCATTGATTCTAAGGTGGTTACATAAAGGAGCTGGTTTTTATGCGAACAAGCCCGCATAGGTAGAAATGCGAGTCTCCTAATAAATCTATTTTTGAGATGGATTTTAAAAATTAATTTTTAAAATATGCTATTTTTAACATGAAGATCATGAATATGAAAAAATAAATAAAATTTAAAAACAAAAAATAATATCTCTAATAAAAAAACATTTAGACTGTTAGTTCCTATTATTTTTTGATGGAACATCTACTTGTATCCATCTTTAGATGGATGCTTACACTTTTGGACCGCATATATAAAAATGAGGTCCAGCTCAATTGAAACAATTTTCCCCAAATGGAGCAGCCTCTTTTGAATTCAACTCCAATTCGAAAGAGAAGAAAAAGGCGTTCTCTCTCTCTCATGATCGTGATATATAAGCATTGTGTTATCTCTCTTTGGTAAGGACTCGGTCTCCCAGCGGCCAAGTCTGCATATGTAGAGATGCGGGCTATTTAAATTTATTTTTAAGATAGATTTGAAGATTAATTTTTATAAGATTAATTTTTAAAAAATCGTAATTTCTAATATGAAGATCATGAATATGAAAAAATAACTAAATTTTGAAAACTAAAAATAATAACTCTAGTAAGAAAACATTTTGACCTTTAGTTTGTGTTGCTTTTTTTTTATGGAACACCACGTGCATCCATCTTTAAAATGGATTCTTTACACTTTTTTTTGAACCGTATATGTAGAAATGCGGTCCAACCCGCATGAAACAATTTTCCGTTTTTAAATGTGGGAGAGAGAGAAGAGAGGTTTCAGACGGACAATATTTTTTGGTTCGTGCTAGAGAGAGAAAGAGGAGAGAGATTTTTATAATTGTCTCCATTGAACAAAAGCTTTGAACCAGCAGAGAGCCGCTGCAATGGAGGCCAAGATCGCCCCTTCCATGCTTTCTTCTGACTTTTCCAATTTGGCTTCAGAGGCTCATTACATGCTTCAGTGTGGAGCCGATTGGTTGCACATGGACATCATGGTACACACTCAACCCCCATCATCTTCATCATCATCTTTTACATTACAATTTGCTTTCTCTGCAATTCAGCTCACCTTGTGCTTGCAATTTGGTTGATGGGTTTTATTATTTATGATCACTTCCCCCCCATCTGTAGATTTTACTTTCTCTGGAATTCAGTCCCTCTTGTTCTTGAATATTTTGGCTAATCATCATGGAATAGGATCACCAATTTGTTTTGTATAATTACGATAAATTTTTTTCTATAATTGCTTGCCTGTAAAATTTTTCTTTCTATTTTTATATTGGTTTATATTTGAATATTTTTGTTGGGTTCCAGGTAGCATACCATTTCTGTGGAAGAAATTTCTTAGTATCTTAGAATCTCATCTTACTTTTGTTCAACTTGAGAAATGGGAACAAATCTTCATTTTTTTTAGTTTCTTATTTAATTTTATCTATTATCTGTCGGTTGTCAGAAATGGGGCCGAATCTTGTCATGGCTGACGCATTTGTGATTACGGGTTACTATGAATCCCAGTTCATGGAATTGGGAACGGGTTTGATGCACCTCATGATGTGATGAATATGTGTGCATTACTTTGATAACCAGGGCTATGTAATTTTGCAAATCAGAAGTTGAATATTAACTGTCCAAGCAGATCCACTGTCTAATGATTATTGATTGAAGTTTTTCAAAAAGGAGACAGGAAAATGAGGAGGAGAAAGTTAATCTGAAGTGAACCATATTCTTAAGAGCTAGCTATATGTTAGATAGGCTATGCTCTTTGGGGGCGGATTTTGTGAAACTGAAGCTTCACGTGGATTCACCCATGTTAACTCCAAGGACGTTAAAGATGGAAATGCATTTCAGTAATAAAAATGGGATAGTCAGAAGCTCTATATTCACCTGCTGAATGATGAATTCTTCTCATTTGTACTGTGTACAGCTGCCCTTGAGAGAAAAATTCTTGTAAATATATATAATAGAACAAAAGGAACCTCCATATGGTTTTGAGGGCTTAACGTCCATTCAAACAACATATCCTCAGGAGTATCTGCACCAGTTGTCCACGTGTCGACATGCATATATGCATACATCATTATTATCCATGCATGTACCAATGGAATCTAAACCACAACCTAGAGGTCAATGTATATGGACATCCCTGCGAAACACCTTTTTTCTTGCTTGTAGATAACTATTCATTGTTTGACTTTATATTCATCACATTTTATCAGTTGTCTTTCATACATGAGAAGATTGGTATTCTTTTTGTATATCTTCACCATGTTTTGCAGTGAATTTTTTCTTTTGTCTTTTCACTTCATCATGGAACTAAACGTTATTTTTGGTGTTTTGCAGGATGGGTATGTGACGATGCTGTTCTTTGCCTTCACGATTCCTTCATGTTTTTGTTCTATGAATGATATGATGTAATAAGTCAGTTATGAGCTTGTATGAATCTATTGTTGAATGATATCAAGGGGCATTTGTAATGATAGGTGATATTGCTTTAATATTTTTGAATTACAAAGTAAGTGCTATTCAATGGGGTCTGGAAACAATGTTTGGCAGTGATAGCATCAGATTATGTTCTTTGAATTTGTAACAAAAACTTTAGTCAATAATTTTGATAGTTCCCAGTTATTTTCAACTTGAATTTCAAAAAGTTACATGGTTTCACTCACTGCATGGATATTGCTTGTGGGACAATTTTGGTTTTAATATCCAAGGAACATTTGAAATCACTGCTCATGGTTCAGGTATTCAATCTTGATGCAGCCATATGTTTGCTGTAATTCGGTTTTCCTGTTAAGGGAAATCTTGTATTTGTGCACTTTCTAACCATATTTCTCACACTTTATTCTCATAGTGCTGTATTGGTTCTCCTCTCTTAGGTTACTCTATGGTCATATGTCCCATGGTCCATGTGGCACGTTATAGTTTCCAATACTTATTCATGCACAACTCAAATTGAATCGCTTACAAGAGACTGGTTTTCATTTGTGCACATTTTCTTTTCTTGCCAGGCATTTTGTTCCAAATCTTACGATAGGAGCACCTGTCATTCAGAGTTTGAGGAAGCACACAACGTAATACACCCTCTTTTAACCTTTTTTGTTTCTCTTTCCTCCTAGACTATTGGCATACTTCTGATGATTTTCAATTCTCCGAGTTATCAGTTCGTACTGAGCATCAGCCATCTCTCTCTTAGGGCATATCTGGACTGCCATCTTATGGTTACCAATCCTCTAGATTATGTTGAGCCATTTGGAAAAGCTGGGGCTTCGGGATTCACTTTTCATATTGAGGCTTCGAAAGGTGATTCACATTCTAATGATTATTTAATCAGTTACATCATTCTGATGATGTGGTTCCATACTATACATTGGTGTGACATTCACTATCCATTTTCAATAAGAATGATGAAGCTGAAGTGTTGTTCCCCTTGAAAGGATAATGGATGCCCCTTTTTATGACATTCATATCATGTTTATGTTGTACTTTCCCTTTACCCTGATCATATCATTTTTGTGTTTTTCTTTGGAGCTACTATGAGCAAGTTATGAGAATTTCTGATGTTGGTCTGTCTCTATGTTTACATATCTCAGATAATTGGAAAGAAATCATAAGAAGGGTAAAAGCAGCTGGAATGCGGCCTGGTGTATCATTGAAGCCTGGAACTTCAGTTGATGAAGTTTATCCCTTGGTATATACTTACTTCCTCGTCGCATGTTTGCCTTTTTTGATGTTTCATGTCATCTTATTGTGATTTTACTACAGACTCCTAGAGGGCTTGGAGAAAATTTCTCTAGTAAATGGTGTTTCATAAACATTGAAACATTATTTTCCAATATAACAGTGTAAGAGGTTATTCTTTGACAATCTGATGTCTATATGAATCGCTGATTCTATAGCTGGGTCAGTTTTTGCATTCATTACCAGCTACCATTGTAAACCTTAAAACTTTAGTACTGAAACAAAGAAGCATTTGGGCCGGTTTATACCAAACACGAATTGCATGAATGAGCTTAGAAATCTTGACAAATAAGAGATTATGAATAGAGTTATGTCCATTCAGGGACAGGAAAGGTTTAGTTAAAGGCCAAAGTTGAGATTTATGTGATAGGTGGAAGGGGATCGCAAGAAAGTAAATGCCACTAGAGAGGGCGGAAGGGGGGGAGAGAGGGAGGGAGGGGCCACTAGGATTCTAATTGCATATACCTTTTTGTAACATGTAAGGACTTGATCCGTTCAGCCATTGTATCTTCATGGTACAAATGCCCGGGCCTCTCCAAAACCTTGGCTAGTTCAAGCAAAAAAAGGAGGGTTTTTTTATTCCAAATTCTTTTATGCAATGGCCAAAACCTCAGGAAAAGGAAGAAATACTTCTTGATTTGGAGAATTGTTCATTTTTATATGAAGAAAATGAAGGAGAGATTGTCAAGTTTATATAGAGGCTGTGATCAGTAGAACAGAAGGTCCAGCCTTCTTTGGAAGGCATTGATTCAACATGAGCCCTTTCCTAGAAGACGGGGTGAGAAATCGATCTTCAGTTCCATAAAGTTTTATGTCCCAATGGTTTCATGGGTCCTTCCAAAAAATCTGGGAAATAATGAAAAGTTCTTGGTTGTGCAGGAGACAATTGGCTTTGGTTTTGCTTCACCTGAATCTGTTTAGATGCTTTAGGAGTTATTGGGTTAGAAAGCTGGTTTGATATGGTGCAGGAATACATGATATAGTGCAGGAATACATGGTTAAGGCCACTATATGAGCTAGTTATGGATGCTCTAGAGAGTGAAGAGCTTGCTGGCCTGCTATTTGGGTCTCCCCTTCTGCAATTGTGACCCGAAGGAGTTTTCAAGGGAAACAAGCTAGAAAGGGCATAAAGAAGAATGGCTATTGTTGGGAAGAACTGACTCTATTATCTGTTTCATATCTCTTTATAGGGTGTCCCTGAAAGGTTTAGAGGTCTCAATTTCAATGAGGAAAATGTATGCAAGCCTTAAGCAGCAGGGTGTGGATTGAGTAAATAGCTCCCTCTTAGTTAGATCGGTTTGTTGGTTCACTGTTGTTGGGGAAGCCTTTATTATGAGGTTTTGCAAGGGAAATACATCTAGTAAGATGATAAGATATGTGGGGGTTTCTGGAGGCTTTGCGCTGCCTAGATATGAAATAGTTAAAGAGTATTGAAGAGTGAGTTTGAGAGAGGGGTTAGGTTCAGTGTTGGTGAGGAAACACATTTTTGGATTTATAAATGAAGCAAGAAGAAACTTTGGACACAACTCAGCAAGGATCTCTTACAATGGCTTGTGGCAAAGCAATTATTTGAAGAGTAGTTCTCCCTGTCACCTACATAGGTTATTCGGATCCACCTCTTTTGAAGGAACTGGATAGAAGAATGAAGAGCTTTTAACTGTAGTAGCCAAAGTCTACAATCATTTAGGAGGAAGAATAAACATTTTAAGATATTTTTTTGAGAATGTTAACTTTATATATATGTAAGAGGATTACATTTGGGGGAGAAGAGAGAGAAAAACTATCCAAAGAGGTATAGCAGACATACAAGGGGGAGAGAGAAAATATCTTAAATAATTAAGATATTGAAACTTACTGAGTATTTTAGGTCACGTAATGTATAAAGAAGTGGAAGGAAATGGTAGTACACTGTCCCATATTGAGGAACACCAAAGCAAAGGTTATTTTTAGGTCCTTAGATTTGTGTTCTTTGTTTTGATGTAGAAGAATAGACTCTTTTTCTTTTACAACCTGGTTTAAGTTGAAGATACATGGGCAAGTACTTGCCTGGAATACCTCATTCCCATGGCGGATCCCTCACTCCACAGAATCTCTCTTGAAATCTTGCACTTATGAAGACTGTCAAGATATATATATTTTGTTTAGAGTTAACAACCCCTCAAAATACAAAGGTTAATATTAGAAAGAGTTGTGATGGATGTATTTATTGAAAAAATCATTACTTTTTATTTAAAAAATTATTTTATTAATCATTAAGTAAGGGAAATTAGAAATATTTACAAAAGCACAATGGTATTTTGGAAGTTAATGTCATGGAACTTTATTTGTAGAGTACCCTTGTCCTTAAGTAAGAATTTCAACTTTTAGTGATGTTTACAAAAATACCCTTACTTATGGAGCAAGATATTGCAAAAAGTAACTTTTTTTTTTAAAAAAGGCACCTTATATTTAGTAAATCAATCCTTTACAACTCACTCTGAAATTAACCTTTGTAATTTGAAGGGTTGTGAATTGTAGATTATCCCCTATACATATGGAAAAGTATACGATGGGACCATTTATTTTTGGTATAAAATGGTCACAATTAATCTTGACTATTGGATGTGAAATTAGATGATTGCATTTATTCCATTGACCAAGCTCAAACTTCAAAAGAAATTTTCTCAAGCTTTGTGACACAGCCAAGCTATCAAATTTCACATCATATGGTTGTAAGTAATTGTGACTTCCTTGTATCAAAGATTAATGGTCTCATTGTATACAATCCTTATATATATATATATATATATATATAACTTGAGCTAGTTTCAGACCAGATAGGCTTTTATCCGGCTGGAAGAGCTTGACCGGGTAGGAACCAAAAAGTCAATCTTCTGAGTTCAGATAAAAAAGATGACCAGGGGACAAATTTGTTGAAGGACAAGGTAAGGAGAGGTTTTCTGCATGGATTGGATCTTGAGCTTGGTCGTTTCGATCAGTTGATCTTGTGTACTTGTCCTCTAGTCTTTGGATCGAGTTCTCTTAGAATTGATTGGCGTTTCTTTCGAGTTTTGGGTTTCATGAAACCCTGGTGATATATATATATATATATATATACCAAAACGCGCCCAGATCTACAGTGATTTTGAACCAACTATTCTATAGCAAGTAAGCAAATAGCATACCATTATATTTGATTAATTCTTGTAATAGATGAATATAATTAAGGCAAAATAATATTATTATAATAAAAGGGATAACGGAAATATCAATAACAAACCACGATGTGTGTGTGTGTGTTCACCTATTTTAATACTGAAGACAAGTTTAAACTGCATCAGATCATCAGATCTTATATATGTATCACAGTATGTATCACAGATTACAAACCATAAACAAACGTATAATCAATCCGACTGAAATATAAACAAACTGACTGAAACATACAAACTGTAAAAACAAACACTTACTGTTTACAGATACAATAACTGGAGAATAACTTCCAGTTGTGAGGACAATATGATGGGAGTGTATGGAAGTTACAATCACACATTTTTAAACTAAGAAAACTGAGATAGGAAAACTGAGATAATAAGATAGGTGAGAACCTGGTTTGATGTATCAAAAAGATAGGGAAAACCTGGATAGCATGAGGCAGGTTCTTGCTGTGAGGTCGGGACAGCTGTGATGGTCTTGCGTAGAAAGCAAGGAGATGAGAGAGCAGAGGGATGAAGAGAGCTCAGAGATGAAGAGAGATGAAGAAGGCAAATGAAGGGAGCAGAGAGAGAGCAGAGCGGATTGTGAGAGGGAAGAAGCTCGGAGACCTACTTCCGAATGAGGAAGAGGGTTCCCTTTTATAAGTAAAGGATGAGGTTGCTTCGTAAGGAAGAAAAGAGATGAGATGTCTTGATTAGACCAAAAGGAAGAGGAGAGGACATAAAGCAAAAAAAACAAAAAAGGAAAAGACAAAAAGAAAAAGAAGATGCTTAAAGAGGCATCTTTGAACAGTGACATTTTGTCTTCTTATATCGGCAGCATAGTGCCTTCTTTGTCGTATGTGTCGGCAGCTACAGTGAAAGGCATCATTCTTTTGTCGTATGTGTCGGCAGCTACAATGAAGGGCATCTTGATATAGTATCTAATATATGGTTAAAAGAAATATGTATTCAACATAACAGAATTTAATATTAGATATTAGATACTATATCAAGATGCCCTTCACTTTAGCTGCCGACACATACGACAAAAGAATGATGCCTTTCACTGTAGCTGTCGACACATACGACAAAGAAGGCACTATGCTGCCGACATAAGAAGACAAAATGTCACTGTTCAAAGATGCCTCTTTAAGCATCTTCTTTTTCTTTTTGTCTTTTCCTTTTTTGTTTTTTTTGCTTTATGTCCTCTCCTCTTCCTTTTGGTCTAATCAAGTCATCTCATCTCTTTTCTTCCTTACGAAGCAACCTCATCCTTTGCTTATAAAAGGGAACCCTCTTCCTCATTCAGAAGTAGGTCTCCGAGCTTCTTCCCTCTCACAATCTGCTCTGCTCTCTCTTTGCTCCCTTCATTTGCCTTCTTCATCTCTCTTCATCTTTGAGCTCTCTTCATCCCTCTGCTCTCTCATCTCCTTGCTTTCTACGCAAGACCATCACAGCTGTCCCGACCTCACAGCAAGAACCTGCCTCATGCTATCCAGGTTTTCCCTATCTTTTTGATACATCAAACCAGGTTCTCACCTATCTTATTATCTCAGTTTTCCTATCTCAGTTTTCTTAGTTTAAAAATGTGTGATTGTAACTTCCATACACTCCCATCATATTGTCCTCACAACTGGAAGTTATTCTCCAGTTATTGTATCTGTAAACAGTAAGTGTTTGTTTTTACAGTTTGTATGTTTCAGTCAGTTTGTTTATATTTCAGTCGGATCGATTATACGTTTGTTTACGGTTTGTAATCTGTTATACATACTGT